AAATTGAAGGTGGGTCCCACTGCAGCTCTTCCCCTTTTTTGTTTGTCTCTGATCTGATCGGACGGTGGTGGGCTCTCAAAATTATGATTACCGAGATTACAGCTAAATTCCCACTTGTGCGTGCTTATCACAGCTTTAGAAATTTTCTTTTCTTTCCTCTCCTTTCATTTTTCTTTTGCTTTTATCACCCATATAGCTGTTTCTCCCATATATATATATATATATATATATATATATATATATATATAAATAAATAAATGTTGGGTATAGCCAAATTTAACTTTAAATTTTGCCCCATTAAATGAAAAACAACTTATACCATATGATTCCTAATTAAATTTGGCTAGATCAAAACACTAGTCGATAAAAATATTACTATAACTAGATCGAATTCGGAATTTAATTTTTTGAAATAACGTAGCAATCATTTATTTATTATATATTTTAATTTTAATTAAATAATATATATATACATACATACAGACATCAATTATAATATAATATAAAAAAAAATACACCGAGATCGGGTAACCCTTAAATTTTTGAAGAAGAACTAGTGGCTCTCGTTTAGAACCCATAGAAGAACAACAATGGTAATCCCTCTTCTCTCTATGTCTCCTACATATTTTACCACAATCCAATTCTTCCCAATTTACATATATACAATCTTAACTCACCAATTTAATTCAAACAATTCACTACATATTTTTCTAAAATCGAGTTAGAAATTTACACTTAGTTTCAACTATTTATATATATATATATATATATATCCGTTTTTATGTTTTTTTAACAAAAAAAATATTTTTTATTTGATTTTGTAAACAATTTAATATACAGGGAGACTACGTCGTTATAATTTTTTATATTTTTAAATTTTATAACAAATTACTTTCAATTTTTTAATTATTAATCAAAATAATTATTTTTTACGAATTGAAAGAACCGATCTTTTTTTTATATATATAAAAATAGAAATTTATTTATCTCATTTGCATAACGAATGTTACCGCGTACATATTTTTTATTAATAAGTTCGTGATAATATAAAAAAATAAAATAAAAATAAACATTATGAAATTTTGAAAATTAGAATATTGATTGGCACAAAGTATATATATATATATATATATGTTATAAAAAAAAAAAGAAATTTCACGGGAAAAACATAGGGTACAAAAACATATACAAGCGATATAGCTAGGTAGCTAGGTACTATTATACAAAAATATACAAATACATAATATAAAGCAAATATTCTTAATTAATACATTAAGTTTGATTCACTTTCATATTGGCCTTTTTGGGCATATAATTAAAATCACCCTCGAAATTCGAATTTATATATTCGCAATCATATTGTCACATTCAAAAGGCTGTATATATGCATATATTAATATATATATATATATGTAAATGTATGTATGTGTTTACATAAGTGGACAAGAAATTAAACCTAATACTAGATAAGGTGTCCACCATCAATCTATTTTTATTTCGAAATTAAAGGAAGCATGTCTTCTTTCATTTCATTTCAATTTTGTTCTTGATGGAAATTAATTAATACTTTGAAATTAATTCATCTAAACATGTTCACTAGTAAATAAATAATGTTTATATAAACTTTTTATTATATAATCTCACCGAGAATGAAAACTAATTTGGGGTAGATGCGTTTTACTCGTTGTAATTTTATCAACACGACAGTGAATTAAAGTCTTAATTATACTAAATTAAACATTATAAATTATTCACTATAATCTCATGACACATTCGTAATTATATTAAATTAAACATTATAAATCAGTCACTGTGAGTTTATAACACGCTCGTAATTATATTAAATTAAACATTATAAATCAGTCACCGTAAACTTATAATATATCTACAACGTAATAAATTTTACGTTTTTAATAAAATTCGAACTGGTAATATTTAAATAAAATATAATAATTTTAATTGTTAAATTATTATTATTGTTAGTAAATTAATTATACGGCAAGAAATATCATAAGTAACTATTGAATTATAATTTATTCGGGAGAATATACATTTTCTTTTCCTTATTTTATTTATTGGAATTGTATTTTTTTTAATATGATAAAAATAAAATTAAATTGTACGTTATTTATTTGAAAAATAATGAAAAATAATCGGCGATTAATCGCACCGACCAGGCTCACTCGCGGCCACGATATGCTGACGCCAATTGAATTTTCATCGGCTTGAGTTTTAGCCGAGCCGAAACACCATTTTCAGCTCCTCGTTTCGACCGTTTCGTCTCTCTCAGTGTTACGGTGAATTTTGTTTTAGGAAGTAGTAAATTACCGGGGCAAAAAAAAAAAAAAAAAGAAAGGGAAAGAAAACGATCGAAAACCGGGAGACAACCGGCTATAGCCAGTGGAGAAAAAATTGCATTTGAAATGAATTTTGCGATCATTTCATTTATGAACTAACCCCAGTCAGATTCTAACCCTGTATCTGACCCAAGTTGGTTTTATTTAAAGTGAGAAACTTTGAGCCAAGTAGGGTTTGTAGTCTGGTTTACACTGATTTTTTTTTTCCTTCTTCCTCCCCCCCCCCCCCCCAGAAAACCTTCTTCTCTCAGTTGAGTTTCCCTGTATATGAAGTGGTCACTGTTCGAAATAAGTTTTTTGATTGAGGCATGATGTAAAAAAGAAGAAGATTTGCAAAGGGTTTCTTGGGTTTTGAATCTTTCCATTAATTATCTTCTGGGCTTGTTTTCGGGTTTGGTCTGGCTTTGTTTCTTGTTTGATGGGTAAAGAGGGAGAGGAAGTGTTGAAGAAGAAAGAAGAGAAAGATGAAGGTCATGTTCACGGAGGAGATAAGTTGGTGTACAACAAGAGTGCAGGGAGAGTTGTGCAAGTTTTTGGTACAGTTTTAGAGGAGGAAATTTGTGTTTGTACGAATAAAATCCTTCAAAACAAACATTGCCAATCCTTGTATTGCTCTTAACTAGCAAACCAGTTGAAATTTAAGCAGAGAAAAAACAAGAAACAAACAAAATCAAGATCAAGTTTAAAGAGTCAATTTCTTCAAGTTCAAATTTTTCAAGAGAACCAATGAAGAGATCTCTTGGAAGCTCAGATTCCTTGGGTGCCTTGATGTCTATCTGCCCAAACACAGGTTTATATAATAACAAAACAATCTTAATTTCTTTAAATTTCTGATAATTATTCATTGATTTTCCGATCATAATCGAACATACACATGTGATGTTTTCTTGTCTCTTTACCTTTTTTTCCACAATCAAATCGGTCTTTAATGATTCTATTTTTTCAAAATTCATATTCATAATCAGTAGTTGAACTTAACCCAAAGTGTTTCAGAACCTTCCATTTCCAATTTTCTTCATTTTTTCTTTTCCATTTTTCCGATTAACCGACAAGCATTGATTACTCTTTGTTGATCCCAACACTAAACTCTTGTCTTCCACGCTGTTTTTCTTTTTTTGTTTACAGACGAACACAGTCCAAGAAACACTCATGTTTACGGCAGAGAATTTCAGTCGATGCTAGAAGGTTTAGACGAAGAAGGCTGCTTGGAAGAATCCGGCCATGTCGGAGAGAAGAAACGCCGGCTAAGCGTCGACCAAGTTAAGGCCTTGGAGAAAAACTTCGAGGTGGAAAACAAGCTCGAACCGGAGAGAAAGGTGAAGCTAGCTCAAGAACTTGGGTTGCAGCCCAGACAAGTAGCCGTCTGGTTTCAGAACCGCCGCGCACGGTGGAAGACTAAACAGTTGGAGAGGGATTATGGTGTTCTTAAAGCCAACTACGAAGCTTTAAAGCTCAACTATGACGCTCTTCAACGCGACAACGAAGCTCTTATGAAAGAGGTAAAACAGAAACGACTGTTTGATTCACGAGATTGTTTGATTTGATTTTCATTGTTGCAGAAAAGTGAATTAATGGAGTTCTATGGTTAAATTTTTTGCAGGTAAGAGGACTGAAGGAGAAGCTCAATGAAGAAAAAACAGAGAGTAATCTTTCAGTGATCAAAGAAGAAATAATCTTGCCGGAGACTGATAATAACAAAACCCTCGAACCACCTCCACCTTCTTTTTCTCCTCCTTCGCCGCCGGCGTCGCCGCTTCTGCCGTCGGCTCCTCTCGCCACGACGTCAGATGCCACGGAGCTCAACGGAGTTTCCGCCGCCTCGCTTTTTCCCACGGCAGACTTCGGCTCATCCGATAGCGACTCCAGCGCGATACTCAACGAAGAAAACAACAACAACAACAACAACAACAACAACAACAGCCCGAACGTCGCGATTTCCTTATCGGCCGCCGGCGAATTTCACCATGGGCTCTTCATCTCCAACTCCTCTTCCTCGCCAAGCTGCTTCCCTTTTTCCTCCAGAAGCACTTACAACCATACCCAGTTCGTTAAAATGGAGGAGCACAACTTCTTCACCGGAGAAGAAGCCTGCAACTTCTTCTCCGACGAGCAAGCGCCGACCCTACAGTGGTACTGCGCTGAACAGTGGAACTGAAACCCGAGATGTCTAACACAGCCTTATCTTCATAAATATATGCAGAACGGTATAGGAACGAGCCGGAGACGATGGGATAATGGGTATCTGAAAACAGAGAATGAAAGCACTCCGAGAAGTCTGTAAAATTGGGATCTGTGAAGTATTTTTTGGGATCGCCATGGATAAATCACTGTGACCCTGCGAGAGTTGGATACTCTGAAAGAAGAAGAAGAAGAACCAAAGAGAGAGAGAGAGAGAGAGAGAATTCACATGGGTGGAAAGTGACGCAGTTGGGATTTCACTGAAGCGTGGGGAAATGATTAGATCGTAATTGGTAATCTGCTGTAAAAAAAAAAAAGGAGGAGAAAAAAGAAGCAAGCACAAAAATTCCATGGGAGAGAAAAAAGAAAGGTTAATGTAATGGAGCAATAATCATAATCATTTAATTAGCTTTTTTCCTTTTCCTTTTTTTTTTTTTTTTTTTGGTTTTATCGTGGCAAATTCAATATTTATAAATAAATCAATATAAATAATAATAATAATTTAATCCACCAAAGTAATTGACATAAATTTAATTCTCTACATATACTTAATTTATTCAATTTTATTTCAAAATCATAAATTAAAGATAAAGGACATATGCAATTTTAGTACAAATTTATTAATATTCGTTTTAATAATTAATATTAGTTTTTAATAATTAATTAATGATTAATAACCTCTAATTTATCTTATTATTATTAATTATCTGACAAAATCAATGTCGCAAGTGGGTTTAAATTTTAATTAATTTTTTTACATTTAATTTTCAAAAAAAGATTACGTACAGCGGGTGCACATGGTGACGGTGCATCTTCTGCGACGATCTGACGTGTTCCTTTCTTGTTGATTGTGCGTACGTACTCGGTACTCTGCGCACACATGTTTGCTACCGTACACGTGTACCCCGGTGGGACCCTCTTTTTCGGTGCCAGAGATCAGATCTTTTTTTTTTAATTTTTTAATTTTAATTTCTGAATTTGAGGAACCCGCGTAAATTATTTTTAAAATTAAAATTTAAATGTATATAATATTATAGATTGCCTTTAAAAAAAAAATTAATTATAAGTGTCTGAAAAATTATTCGATAATCACCTTAATTAAACAAAAAAATTATTATTATTAATGGAAATTGTAAAAGGAAATCTTCGTTGAAGCAGGTAGGCAAAATATCATATAAGGACTCGCACTTTTCACTCAGAGGGAGTAAAAGAGGCTTGGAGGAATGGCACGTGGGGTAATAACAATTCACTTTAAGGTCCCATTAGATACGGTTCGAGTCCACTCGAAGGGACTCCATTGGATCCAACGTACTGACAGGGTGTTCCGCGAAACAGGCGATAAATACTCGATTGCTGCCAAAAGCTGTGGTCCCCACTTTTCAAACGTGGGTCCCTCCCCGCCCTTTCTCATCATCAATTTCTCTTTTACGCAGTGCATTGGCGGATGCATGTGACGTGGGTCCCACTTTCGATAAGTGAAAAAAATATATAAATAAATATATATTTATATATTTTACACGTCACACTCATCAATGTCGCAATCACATAGAAATTTGCAAGCGCGAGGAGGATATGCATGTGTACAGTGGCGAAAACCCCTCTGATTGGTGACAGCTCATCTACTTCCTGGACTCTGAAAATTTTGCACCGCAGGGAATTAAAAAATTAATATCCAATCAGTTTTTGCCACGTGTTCGGAACAGAAATCGAATAATAATTTATACGCATACTTTAAACTTAATATGTAATTATAGTTTTTTAATAACTTATTTATGGAAAAATATTTACTTTTTTTTTTTAATCGTAATAATAATGATAAAAAAATGTTGATAATTTCTTTTTTTTTTAATTATTATTTTCTACTCGTGCTATATAATTTATTTATTTTTTGAAATAATATTTATACCCCCAAATTTACAATTACAGTATTTTTAAGAGAATATAATTTATTTTGTTTATTTTCATAATACTATATAATTATCTGTTTAATTATTTAATTACAAATATACGTATGTGCGTGTGGTGTGTTTGTGCGGAATCTCTTTAGTTTTTTGGTTTTTTTATGTTCAGGTGATTCATGTTTATTTATTTTAATCGATGTGGGATTTATTTTATAAAGCAGCTCTAATACCACTAACTTTATTGTATTTTATTGCCATCTAATCTTGATTAATTAATCAATTAGACATCTACATATATATATATACACACACACACCATAATTAATTATAATAAATCTTTTAATTTATTAAATAATTTAATGGGTATTTTCGGGCAGCTAACACTTGGGGTGGCATGCTCCACTTTGTTCACACACACAATACTTTGTTTGGCCTCTTCATATATACCATAATTAACATGGGCATCGCAGTTTTGGTTCCTTCCTTTTTTTGCCTTCCTTTTTTTTTTTAATTTTCTTGTACTATTTTTAAAATTTTATTTTTCTTAAAGTATAATTTATTATAATCGGAATTGAAAATTAATTATAGACAAAAATCTTTACAAAATCCCTTAAATAATGTATTATATATCTTTGACTTAGTACACAAATATATTATAACCACACATTTTACTTTTACAAACTTATATAATGAAAAATTTACACTTACTTAGCAGAATAAACATATATACATATATATATATATATTATGTTATATTTAATAAAATTAGGGTTATAATATATTCAACGTGTTAAGCGGAGCTTCTAGATCAAATTGTTGTTTGCTTGTACTCTTCAAATTCCAAGCATTTATACACGTATATAATTTATTCACAATGGTGGTCCATATAAGTTATATATATATATATATTATATTTATATACTGACCTAGCTTTATACACCTACATAACTATAACATATTTTATATGGGTTTATATTAATAAATTCTATATGTATTTTAAATTATATTATTTATATGATTAGAAGATTTGAGTATCTCAATTTTTGATCAATAATTCTAATTTTATATTGAGAGTGAACGAGAAAAAAGGACACGTATAATATTAAAAAATAATTTATATTAATGAGATTTATAATTACTAATTTTATAAATATATAAAATTAATAGACTTTAATTCAATAATTAGTTATATTTTTAATCGTACGAAGATATTTTAATTTTTGAAGTTTGTTTAATACAACAATTTTGTATATTATATTAATTTTTAAAATATTAAAAATACGTATTAACCTAATATTACAAAAAAATTAAAAATTAGGTTAACTCGTAAGAGGTTAAACTTAATATTATAATTTTATTTATGTTCGTAAGTCTTTTAATTTTTTATTTTAAGATATGAGAGGTTTATCATATCTCGTTTTTTTTTTTAAATAATTAAGACAATATTATTTTATTCATCCGATACTTAATTACTCTTCGCCTCATCTAGTTTATTGTATATTTTCGAAGATCAAATACAATAACGATTTATTTTTATTAAAATTTATTAAATATGACTTATTTATGAACGTGGTATTATTGTTGATCTAAAAATTAAAATATCGGTTCAACTCGAGTTATATATTTTTTGTTAAACAATATTTATTATTGGTCAATTAATAATTTATTTTAAGCATAATATAATATATATTTATTTTTTTTGGAGTAGAGTAAAAAGGTAAAAGAGGAAAATGAAATGAAGTGGGGAGTGAAATAAATTAGGAAGGTAGATGAACGATAGCGATAGTAATTGAATGAGACGTCGCCGTTTAGGACAAAAACCGCGAGAGTGTCTGGCACACAGTCCCTCCGTCTACTCACAGGCGTTCACAAACTTTTAAGAATTAATTACTTCGACGTTTGACCTCCACGCACCTTTTATTTATTTTCCTATTTTATTTTTTATAGTTATATTTTATTTTCAAGAAATTTTATTTAAATTTAATATTTAATAATTTTAAAATAAACGTTTGAAATCAACATTATAAAATTAAGTTTATAATTATCACACATATTTAAAAAAAATATATATCACTATAAATATCTACAAAATTTATTTCAAATTACATAATTTTTATACTTAAAAATTTTAAGTTCGAATTTTACGATATTTTATAATTAAAAAAAATATTAATTTAAATATATGATATCTTATAAATGAAAAATATATAATTATTAGGTTAAACACTAGTTAATACAATTTGTTTAGATTAATTACTAATCAAAACTTTCAATTAATTGTGCAAATATATATATATATGTATGTCTAAGTATGTATATATATATATATATTAACATATCTTCTAAAAAGAACTTTCAAAGATGGTATAGAAGTCAATATCATATTTATAACCCACTTTTTTATTATTTATTTATTTTTTTTTTTAAATTAAAATATAATTTAGGTGAAAATAATGCATTACTTTTTTTTTTTTTTCACCATCATCAACTTAAAATGGTTTGAGGACACATGCAATCCATAATATTATCTTATAATAATTAATTAAGTTAATTATTATTTTAATTAAAGACGGAAAGGAAACAATCGAATGCTGATGCATTATACTTAATTATTAATTTCATCACGATTAAAGTTAATTTCAATCATTAAAATTATATTATACGTAAAAATTAAATACATAATTTTATACTGAATTAACGAGAAATGTAAGCATAAACGTACCTGAATCAATCGCATAAAAATTATTTACATCCGATAATAGAATCTTTCAAATCAATACGCTACTTAGAAACTAATTTTTCTGAATCGCAAATTTGTGATTCGATAACTATAATCGTATTTTACATCAATAAATTTTTATAATTTATATTTCATCCGTTGTAAAATGAAAATATTATAAAAATAATATACGAACATTAAAATTCATACTTAAATTCGATATATTAAGATTAAATATTATTTAATTATATTTGAATATTTTTAAACGAACTAATTCAATTGATAGTTTGATACGGATACTAAAATTCACGTTAACTTAACTTAACGTGTCAGAAAAAATCAAATTTTTATAAGGGTACGTTTTCTTATGTTTTAGAGCATTGTTTAAGATAATCTTGATTAATTAATTAATGTATTAGAAACCCATATATAATATATATATATAATTTGAGTGTCCCATACAATATAATATTATATATGTTATATATATATATATGTATATAATTTGAGAGCAGAACCCTTAAATGGCGCTGCAGTTTCGTTTCTTCTTCCCGCAAGGAAGAGACAAGACACATACTATAAACACGAAAGATTTGGCGATGGCATTTGTTATTTTTAGAAAAAATTAATCATCCCAATAAAGAAAATCGCAAGAACACTCATATATACATATAATATATATATATATATATTATATTAATCAACCTAATTATCATTAAGCTACAAACCCACCCAAAACTTTATTTTTAATTTATACCACCATATATAAATACATATATATATATATATATGTGTGTG